AGAGAAAAACAAGTAATTTTAAGGAAAGGAATTTCTAGGGTGTTACACTAGGCCCACCTTTAGTACGACCCAATGCTTATATGGAGTCCAAATATTTTATTTAGGCCCCATATGATTATATTCCTAATCCAAGTCAGCTAGAATCTTCTAGAAGATTCTAATTTGTCCTTCCCGAAAAGATAAAGATCAAGAGTTTGAGATTGAATAAAACTCTTATGATAATCCTTAATTTTTTCGGAAGACGCTCGGATATATTTTGCAAAGCTAACCCATCAGAAACAAAACTCCGCACGAACTTTAATATCTTTTGAACCATCAGACAGCGACAGAATGCGCCTCGGTAGCTCTGTCGCGATGCGACAAATACCATCGCGCCGTGACAGAGAAGTTCTATCCCAGTCAGAACTTCTGGTCTTTTTCCAATTGTTCGACTCTATTTTTTCCTTATAAATATAGGTCGTTTCCCCAATTACAATCATCAACAAAAACCATTATAACAATCATTAATAAACTAGAGCTTCCTAAACCCATGTTCTTAGCCTAAACACATCCTAGACACATCCTAATCATTCACCATACTTCCTTTGCGTGATTTGAATATTTCAAACCATATTCGACGTTTTCTTCAACCTCGACGTACAAGGTTGATGTTTCTGAGGGTTTTGACCCAAATTTATATTTCAATTCTTAATTAATTTAGTTTATTAGTTATTTTATTGATTTCTACTTTCATGAAGTTTACTAATTTATGTATTATTTTAATAGCAAAAAGGTTGAAGCATCAAAGTGAGTAATTTAATTACTTTCTTGAATAGAAATCATGTTTAGGATGACATATTGATTTTGTTATTAGTAACATGTTAGGGTTGCTATTAATCTGTTTAGTATCATGCCTAGGATCTTACTACTAATGATGTTTTTATGATGGTTGTTAAATTAATTATATATTTCTTCATTATCAATGATTTGTTGCAATTGCTTGATCACACCCTTTTTGTAGGTTTAAAGAGAATTTGTAATTGAAATCACGCCTAATAAGATAATTAATAATTTGATTTAGGGTTAACGTGATTTTAATTCAATTGATCCTAGTATTAGACTTAATTGTGCATTAATAATCAAACAACATAGATTAAACATGTTTAGGATTAATTTGATGTATGTATGTTGACCAAAAAGCGCGCATGAATATCAATAAGAATTAAGTAGAGGCCTATTTTAGGGCGGGTTTGACCTCTTTGAAGGTTAAGTTCATACCATCATCCCCCGAACATCCAGTTATGGTTCCACACCACTATGAAGTTAGCAATCTCTGTGATTGTGAACAGGGTGTAACCTTCACAATCGTGAACGATTTACAAGGTCCTAAAACTTGTTGGCGCTCTTTTTCTCTAGCTTCTTTTCCTAGGAGTGCCGGCATGCCTAAAAACATGACCCACATGTAGGGCGGAGATGAAAATTCCCTACAGAATCACAACACTTTAATTTGTGAGCTCCGATTACTCACCAAAAACGACCCAAAAATCAGTCCCGTCATCCTTGAATTAGACGAAGATGTTGCAATCTCTTAATATAATTTCCTGTAAATATTCCCTTATATCTACTTGTGACATTCTTGATTCTAAACACTACATGCAGCACCTGCCCGCGCGTCGGCGTGCAATCATCGTTTGTAATTGAGGGTAAAAAAAAGGTGTTGTTCTTTGATTGATATTGTAGGGTTTTGGGGTATCATAATTAACCGTCCTCCACTTTCTCTTTCATAACTTCTTCACCATTCTCACTAATAGTATTGATAATTTCTCCAATATTCTAGCCATATACAAGGCTAATTTTGGAATTCCAATGTTAGGAATTGCATTGAAAACAACATGAATATAACAAGATTAGAGGAGAAAGATTAGGTGTTCTTTTCTTTTATTGAAGGAGTGATTCATGTTTGCCATCATTGATAAAGTAGTTTTTGAGGAGAGAGATGAGGAGGATAAGGTGAAAATTAATAGGAATAATATTTGTGTGATTTTTTGAAAAAATAATCTATTTGAATTTTAAAAAGTTAACCATAGTTTATAATGGGTTATACTTAACGAAATTTTACCTAATAATCATCAATAAGTTGAGGAAAACCCAATTAATAACCGTGATAATAAATTGGCTAAAAGGGTCATTTCCATGACAAATTGAAGGTATTTTTGTAAATCACCATCCTTATTCTACCTTCATCTCTTTCTTCATCTTTGGAACACCATCGAAACAAACAACCAACACCATTACCATCGTCCTTTTTCATCTCCTTCCTCCTTCAATCCACAACCGAAAACCAACCACCATCTTCATCTTCTCCTAGTAAACCAACCAACATCTTCATCAAACCAACCAACATCTTCATCTTTATCTTCCTCTTGCGAACCGAATCGACATTGACACTATCACCAACATCGACATTGACGGCGGCTTCTCCGTCGAATTCAGCAAAAATCCTAAGAAAAATGGAGTAACTCGGGGCATGGTGAACCCAGCCCAAAGGGTAAGTGAGCATACAACAACCACACTTAGTATATGAAGTTATTAATTCCTAACCAAGGTTTAATAACAACTAAGAAATTGTGAAATCTCTGCAAAATTAAACAATGTGAATCTTTACTGAAACACAAGTCAAACTCTAAGTTTTAATCAATATGTCAACTGTTTTTATTTTATGAATGACAAAGATATTTATACTACAATTTGCATAGCCTTGTTAGACAATTCTTTAATTAAGAAAATCAATTTATAGAAACAATCTAAACAAATCCTAACAAACTGTAACTACCTAAAATAAAATCAAAATCCTATTGGCTAAAATAGGTTAAACCCTTTCAAGTGAAATGTAAAACCTATAGGCTAAACCTAAACAAAGCTTAAAAAAAGAATTTTCAATGGTTCATTCCTATCACATCACTCCCCCTAGCTACTCCATTATTTTCTCCATTACAGGCTTGAAACTAAGCTTTGGTTTCGTTCTAACATTGAAGCTCGTGGTCAGTTCGTATGAAGAAGATGAAGATAATGTTCGATTTTTTATTGTGGATTGAAGAAGGATGGAGGTGAAGGAGGAATATGGTGGTGGTGGTGGTGGTTGGTTCGGTGGTGGTTTACATGAGGAAGAAAGACAAAAATGCAAAAAAAACTTTTTATCATATAAGCACGAATCTCTAGGAAATTCATTTACAAATTTGCCAAGGTTATAAACTTGTATATCCTTCAATAAAATCACGTTTGATAAATTGTAGAAGTTTAGAGCTGCCAATGATAATCGAAAAGAAATTGGCTACCATTGAAAAAAAGCAAAAGAAAAGGGCTACCAATAAAATTTCCAACGGCTTGTTTGGTTGACAAAATAAAATGTGGGAATTGAAAATTCATGGGAATTTGTAATTTGGGTGAAAGTTTAGTTGACACAAAAAAGCAAAAATTAGGAAAGTTGGAATTCATGGGGAATTCTACTTTCCACAAAACATAGGAAGTAAATTACCTAGGCCCTAATTAGTCAATCAAAATTCATGGATATTTCAACTTCCCATTGTCTCAAGACTCACAACCAAACAACTTAAAATTCCTAGGAATTTCATTTGGGAAATAACTTCCCATAAAATACAACTTATGACGGAAATTTATTTCTTGTATCAACTAAATGAGGCCCAAGTATTAATCTCCAAACAAACCTTACTTACAATATTTTACATTATTCAACTTATCCTTCTTACAATTATATCCCGATTAATCTAAAGCATTTGAAAAAACGGAGGGAGTTAAAAAAAAAAAGATTTTTGTGGAAAAACTACCTTATAAAAAATTTGTTGTAAGAAAATACCTTATAAAAACTAAATGTTATAAGTTGCTACCACGTGCTTGATTTTACAATGAAAGAGAAGGAGAATTAGGGATTATATAGGGGCTATGGATAAATTGGTTGGGAAAAGGTAAAAAAAAATGATTGAAAATGGATCATTAAACGTCCCTTAATCAATGCAATAATCCGGCAAAAAGTAGCTTCTTACAACATTTAGTGTTTTATAAGGTAGTTTCTTACAACATCTAAGTAGGGTTGAGCACAGATTGGATATCCAATCCAAAATCCAATTTCGGATCGGATATCCGTATCCAAAAATTCAGTTACTTGATATCCTATCCAAAAATATTTGGATATCCGATATCCGAAAATTTCGGATCGGTTAGGTCGGATATCTAATATCCGAACCTTTTAACAAATAAATACAAAAAATACAAGTTTAATGGAAAAATTGATTTTTTGAACAATTAAATCCCAGAAAATCATAATCAAGAATTAAATAACCCACAATAATGTAAGACTAATTATATACATAAAGAATTATTTAAACAAAATTATGAAAATAATCAGAAAAAAGTAAAAAAGTGTTCTAATGGTTGTCGCAAATTTGGTGACAACAGTGGGTTTGGTGACCCGTAAAGCTTGAGTCGGCCGGTGGAGGTTGGTGAGCTTGAGCCATAGGAAGAGAGCCCGCTAAGTTAGGTGAGTCGGTGGTCAGTGTCGGTGAAGGAGATCTGAGAGTATGAGATTGTAAATTGAGATTTTGAGATGAAAAGAGGAGAGAAAGTTAGAGAGGAGAGAAGTTGCAGATGAAGTTATTAGAGAGGGGAGAGAGTGAGAAATTGAGATATGACAAAGAGAGGTGGGGTGGCGTGGGATAGGTTAAAGAAAAAGAATATAGGGTTTGGTGTATTTCACTATTTTGTACCGTACTCCGTAAGAAATAATGTTTTTGTAACAAAATTAATGATTTTTTTCGGATATTGGACATCCGAAATCCAAGAGTTGGATATATGATATCCGATATTTTCGGATCGGATATCCATAATTTTTGGATCGGATGCGGATAGGATCTTCAAATTTTCGGATTTTCAAATTTTTTGCTCAGCCTTACATCTAAGTTTTATAAGGTAGTTTCTTACAACATTTGTTTAATAAAGTAATTTTTCACAAAAACTGTAATGTATAAGGTATTTTCTTTTCAAAAAGTCCAAAAAAATAATAATCTAATTTTGAAAAGGCAAACAGTAATCATTTTGCGCGCCCAACATAAATCACTATAACCCTAAAATAATTCATCCATTAATTTCTTCTTTTCAAAAAAAACCCAAAATTTTCCCTTTTCCCTCTTTCTCTCTCCTGACTCTCACTCTGACTCTGACTCTTTCATCTTTCTCCGGTTTCTTCGGAAATTGCCATTTTCATGGAGGATCAGAAGGTCTTAGATCTAGTTAAAGAGCTTGTTAATCGTTTACTTTCACAACCCCAAAACCCTAACCCTAACCCTAATCAACCCACTTCCGTAATCCCTAATTCTTCTTCAATTGACTCTAATCACTTCAATCAAGCTCTCCGCTATGCAATTCGCATCTTATCTAGTCGAATGACGCCTTCAATTGCTGCTGATGAAGCTGCAATGGCGGAATCAATTAAGCGTCAGCTCGTCACTCAAGGTAAATCTTCCGAAGCCCTTACTTTCGCCGATCTTTATTCGAAATTTGCGTCGAAAACTGGTCCTGGTAGTATAAATAACAAATGGGCGGTTTTGTATTTACTTAGAGTTGTGTCTGAAGACTGTAAAATTGCTAAAAAACAACCGAATTCCACGGTTTCTAGGGGTTTGCCAGCGATTTATGATTCTCAGTTGAGTGATAATTCGAAGGTTTCTCGTGATAAAGAAGTGGGGTGGAGTGGTGGGGTTTTAGTGTTGTCGAAAGATCCTGACAATATTCGCGATATTGCGTTTAGGGAGTTTGCTAACTTGTTGAAGGAAGAGAATGATATTTCTGAGGAGGTTTTGGTTAGGGATGTGTTGTATGCTAGTCAAGGAATTGATGGAAGTTATGTTAAATTTGATGGAACTATTGATGGGTATGCTTTGTCTGATTCTATTAAGGTACCTAGAGCTACTAGGATTATGATTCAGAAATTATGTGAGTTGGGTTGGTTGTTTAGGAAAGTTAAAGGGTACATATCGGAGAGCATGGATCACTTTCCTTCTCAAGATGTCGGAACTGTGGGGCAAGCATTTTGCGCGGCATTGCAGGATGAGCTTACCGAGTATTATAAGCTTTTAGCGGTGCTTGAAGCGCAGGCAATGAATCCCATTCCACTGGTTTCTGAAAATGCCACTTCAGGGAATTATCTCTCTTTAAGGAGACTGTCGGTTTGGTTTGCTGAACCTATGGTTAAGATGAGGCTTATGGCTGTATTGGCTGATATTTGTAGAGTTTTGAGAGGTGGGGCGATGGCAGGGGCTATTCATATGCATGCCCAACATGGGGATCCCCTTGTGAGGGATTTTATGAAGCGTTTGCTGCGTCGGGTTTGCTCACCCCTGTTTGAAATGGTTAGAAGTTGGGTCTTGGAAGGGGAGCTCGAAGATATATTTGCTGAGTTTTTTGTTGTAGGGCAGCCTGTCAAGGCTGAATCCCTTTGGAGAGAGGGTTATCGGCTCCATCGTGGGATGCTTCCTTCTTTCATCTCGCCATCTCTTGCACAGCGCATTCTGAGGACTGGGAAGTCAATTAACTTCCTAAGGGTATGTTGTGAAGACCGAGGATGGGCTGATGCTGCGACTGAGGCGGCAGCTGCTGCTGGAACCACAACAGGGAGAGGTGGTCTTGGGTATGGAGAAACTGATGCTCTTGAATTGTTGGTCGCTGAAGCAGCTAAGAGGATTGATAAGCATCTACTGGATGTTATCTACAACCGCTACAAGTTTAAAGATCATTGTATGGCAATAAAACGGTATTTGTTGCTTGGACAGGGTGATTTTGTGCAGTATCTAATGGACATAGTTGGGCCAGAACTCTCTGAGCCAGCCAACACTATTAGCACATTTAAGCTGGCGGGGCTGTTGGAAACTGCTATAAGGTCATCAAATGCACAGTATGATGACCGCGATATATTGGACAGACTGAGAGTCAAGATGATGCCACATAATTCTGGAGATAGGGGCTGGGATGTGTTCTCCTTGGAATATGATGCCAGAGTTCCACTAGATACTGTTTTCACGGAATCTGTTATGTCAAGGTACCTAAGAATTTTCAATTTCCTGTGGAAGCTTAGGCGAGTTGAGCATGCACTGATAAGTACATGGAAAACTATGAAGCCAAATTGTATCACTTCTCGCTCCTTTATCAAATTGCAACAAGCAGTTAAAGTGAAGTTGCTTTCGACATTGCGGAAATGCCAAGTTCTTTGGGATGAGATGAATCATTTTGTCTCAAATTTGCAGTACTACATTATGTTTGAAGTTTTGGAGGTATCATGGTCTAATTTTTCTAATGAAATTGAAGCAGCGAAAGATCTTGATGATCTACTTGCTGCTCATGAAAACTATCTCCATTCCATAGTTGAGAAGTCTCTTCTTGGAGAGAGATCACAAAGTTTATTCGAGACACTATTTGTTTTGTTTGACCTGATACTGCGCTTCCGGAGTTTAGCTGACAGATTATATGAAGGCATTTATGAAGTGCAAGCAAGGTATCTTTCTGTTTGTCATGTTATCATGTAGAGTTATTCTGCTTTTATCGTATATGCTAAGTTATCTCTGGAAATCATTATTTACAGGTCTACTGATGATAAGAAAAAACTATCTAGGCAATTAAGTAGCAGATCTGCAGAACCTGGTTCATGGGCATCTGAGGGCAGGAAGGCCTTAACCCAACATGCTGCTAAATTTCTCAGCTCTATGAGCCAGGAACTGGATGATATTGGAAAAAAGTATTCATCCCTTCTTACAGGATTTATCTCTGAATTGCCAGTCCAGCAACATATTGACCTGAAATTTCTCCTTTTCCGACTTGATTTCACTGAATTCTATAGTCAGTCACATCAAACCATATCATGATGATGTCCAGTTCAGTAGTTTAGTTTTTGAGGTTGCTTTTAAATTTGAAGAGCCATATATCTGTTGAGTACTTGAGTGCTTTTTTGATTGATTGATTCATTTATTTGGTTCCTGGTTCGTGAACCGGATCTGTTGCTGAAGCTCCAAAGCATTGCATGCAAAGTGCTTCCACAATTCAGAAAGAAGTACGACTCTTGATGTTAGGTCATTACAGACTATTATTCAGGGCTAAGCTGCTGAGGGACTTCCGCACTAATCCTGTCGAGGTTCGTTTCTTGACACCATACTTGAGACAATGCCATCATATCACTGTGTGACAGTGTGAGTGAGTCTGTAAATCTGCTGAAAACAAAGTGGGGGAAACTGACAGCATCTTGTTGATGACAGTTCATAGTTGTGTAAATTAGTGGAATGTGTGATACTAGATTAAGAGATTTCCAACTCAATATGCATTTTTGTTTGTTTTTTTTTTTTTTTTTTTTAACATTTTAGGAGATGGGGGTAGGGAGACCAGCTAATAACAATTACTAGTTGGTCAAAAAGATGCAACCTTGGGTAGTGTTTTTGGCCACATAGTTACTCATGAAGGCCGAATTCTTAGATGTTAGTGGTTTGGTTTACTTATGTGCTGTGTTCTATTTTGTGCACTTAGCACATGTTTGTAAAGGTGTTTAGGTTCTTTCAAGCAATTGATCAACTTGTTAGTGGCAGTTTGCGTGTTTTTTTTCCTTCTTCTTGAGCACTTAAAGTTTAGGCTAAAATTTCAATTATTTGCAGTAGTGCCAGGCTAAATCACATAATAGCTGACCGAGTTGCTGGCTGGTTTGCTCATTTTAGTTGTTCAGCTAACCTAGCAATGCATTTACAACTAATTGTGTTAGGTTTCCACTTCCATCATTGATGTAGATATTGGAGAATTTATTGATGGTTTAAGGTTTATCAAGTCGATCATGTAACTTATCTTTTATTTGCAATTGATCCTATTTTTCTGTTTATGTATCTCAGCATCAAAGCTGGCAAACATCTACTCGTAATAATTGCCAATGTTATTATTATATTGATATTTGGCCTTCTAGCTAAAGTACGGTTGTTATTCTTAAGTGTTACCTTGAGCTAACTCATAACTGTATGTTCTTGGATCATGGTATATTTGCTTTAAAAAGCTATTGAATTCCGTAGGTTTTCATTTGTTGAATATACCGAGTATGATTACTCAGGAAATAGTATCCCATATGTGTTTCAAATGGCAGAATAAAAATGGTTGAGAGTGGGACTAAATGAGGCTTTTTTACCAGGAGATGGAGGGCGTTGAAGGGGAGCTAATCGAACAAATACTGAAATAAACTTTTGCCATTGATGCATACATAGGGAGAGGTAGAGTAATGTTGTAATACTGAGCCTGTGAGGGTATTTTGGTTACTTTGTGCTTTCTATCCCATATCAATATGTGATTGTGTACACTCGTCATGTGTCTTTTGGAACTAATAAAAGGAGATTTGATTACGACATTATATAACTTTGTCATCCATTTATATATATTTATAATTTTGTGGCGTTTATTGTTATTATAAATTATGTTCATGCTTTAAAAATGGATTTTGTTGAATTCAAATAATTATTTTATACTTTTATGATGGTCAGGGCTTTTTGAGATTACATTATTGAATTGTAATTTGTAATTTCATTCAAACGGGATCATCTAGATAAGCGTCATCTAGCAAACATTTTACGAATCCGTCAAAATATCATTGCAGAAAGCACAAGTTATCATGTATAATTGCTAAATTTGGACCTTATCAATTGACCACCGCATGATGCTTTTGCCCATTTTGCCTCCATCGTTTTACACCATCTCATACCACTACATTGCCTTCGTTCCTCCCTTCTCCTTCCCTCCCTACCACACCCTAACCATTCATATGATCTCGAAGAGTCGAAGGTGGGGGGTATGGAATTTGATTTATTTGTTCAATTAAGTGTTCTAATTTAAAGATAAATGCAGAGGAAAAGATATGGAGTCGACTCTCGTAGATTGATACCCTTCTCGAACAACTCTTTTTAGGAAGCTCTATCCCTCATGCGTTACTTCAAATCGCATCCCTTCTGTCGTTGCTAATGCTCCATGTTACAACTCTTCTAGCTCCAAGGCCTCCGATTAAATACAGGTGACTAGTCCACACTGCTCACCCTCCTAACTTCAATTCCTCATATTCTACAACAATATTTAGTATAAACCCCTCGTGATCAACTTGATCTATATTGACCAAAATGGCAAAATAGCTTATATTTTAAAAATAATATACAAAACAAAGCTTACAAATCAATTATTGATGTAAATAAATACATTTATAACAAAAAGCCTATATTTATCCATCTTTGCTTTGAAGATTAAATAGTCTAAAATGTTTAATCATTCAAAAAGACATGGTTAGCTTAAATATAGCTAAGAGTAAGTAACAAATATACACAATACACCGCGAATCTTTTAGGAGTAATTTCTTAATATAGAAAGTCATTTAAGGACAAAATTCCTAGGTTTTGTGACAATAATTATAATTATCTTTAACCTTTTGTCCTAAACTTTTTATGCAAACAAAGAAACGGTCAAATTTTATTACTTAACCCTGCTAGTCCCACATATTTTCATCAATATTCAACAGCCACATACCAACGCAAAAACAGATCTTAGGTGTATTTAAAACCAAAATTGTACCCCAGAAAAACCCACAAAAATCTGTTGAAACATACATAATTTTTTTGTTACATTCTTGAGTTCATTCATTCTACGGTTATTACTCATATTATATTGGTTTTGTGTCAATCATCATCATTGTTTTTGTGGTTGTTGTTGTTATACAAATTTGACTCTTTGTTATTCGTACGTTTTCTATTTGTTCCTGTTCTTGTTTTTTGTCATTCATATGATAAAGAAATAAAAAGTTGTGGGGTGGTTCTGAAAACTTTATGTATATCTTTATCTTCGGGATGGGTTATTCATGCATGTCTCAATGATATGCCAGCTGCAACTAACACCACTTCAAGGAGAATTCATTCGCTGCTCGATTATCGAGCTTATTCTCTTTTATGTATGTATTGTTATTTTCGCTAGTGAGCTCATTGATGTTGGTAAAGTGAGTAGGAAGTTTGAAATTGGTTGTTTTGACATATACTTTTAGTTAAGTTAAAGAAATATGGAAGGAGGTGGTGGATTGGAGGATTATGATGCCAAAAAACCATTATTGTTGGGCTAGTCAAATGAGCAAGAACAACACATGGTTAACAATGAGAATGGAAGAGGTGATATATGTTGTCGACGATACTCTTTTACGAGTCTTAAGAACGATTTCTTCTCTAAGTTGCCTCACAAGGTTCAGCTGGCCATGGATCCTGAGTCCCCTTTTGATCTAGACCTTTCCAATAGCTCCGGCTTAATCGAAGGTAATTTACTTTCTCAATGTGTTTCTTTCAATTATCTATTTATAAGGGATTGTTAGATTCTATTTTACTAGCATTACATTGATTATTGATAACTTCATTATATTAGATACATGGTTTTTTCTTTTTCTTGGGTGCAAAATGATACAGAGTACTTAATTATTGGTTTGCTGTACATTGTTTATTGTTGAGTATGAAGGATAGGACCTACATACATTTAGACTATAGAGCCATGGTTGAATCTGCGAAATATTAGTTAAAACTTTGATAGTAGATATATCTTACCAATATTTTGCTAAATCTTTTCCTTAAATATTGAACTTAATTGGAAATTTGGCAAGGTTAAACTGTACTCTGATCTTGTTTGACAAATTCTGAAGTCTGTCAGATTTAATAATGTATAGGAGATTCAGTCTTCTTGAATTTACCATCTTGTACTTTGTCTTGTGTCATGGTAGCGGAGAAGGAATACTATGAAAGGCAAGTTTCAACATTAAAATCATTCGAGGAGGTTGATGCTTTAGATGTACCTCCTGACATCAATGAAGAAGAAGAAAGACGAGAACAAGTACAACACGAGAGAGCAATGAACATATCTAATGGAGCTAATGTTGTGTTGCTAGCATTAAAGGTGTTTATGCTATAACAAGGCAACATTAATTTTTGAGAGAGCCTAGCATCAACAATGTTTTCTTTATAAATTCCCTAGATACATATCTTATTTCGTGATTGCTTAAAATGCAGATATATGCAACTATAAGAAGTGGGTCTATAGCTATAGCAGCCTCAACACTTGACTCCTTGTTAGATCTCATGGCTGGTGGAATTCTATGGTTCACGCATTTGTCGATGAAGAACATCAATATTTACCAATACCCTATAGGCAAACTAAGGGTTCAACCTGTGGGTATTGTAATATTTGCAGCTGTCATGGCCACGCTTGGTAACCTTTGAACTTGCAGATGGATATAATGTTGCAATATCACTCTTGACTCACTAAAAATACATTTTGATGCAGGGTTTCAGGTACTCATTGAAGCTGTGGAACAATTGATAAGAAATGAACCTTCTCCAAAGATGACGCATGAGCAGCTTATCTGGCTGTACTCTATCATGCTTACTGCCACAACTGTAAAATTCGAACTTTGGTTTTATTGCAAAAGCTCAGGGAACAGGATCGTTCGTGCATATGCAAAGGTATCCATATGACTCTTAAGATCAGAGTTTCTCTATAATAAAAACAGAAGCATTATTGTAGCATTGCTTTAGTAAAGATCATATGCAATTTATAATGACTTGCTTCTGTTTGTACCAATTGACAGGATCACTACTTTGATGTGGTGACAAATGTTGTGGGATTAATAGCTGCAGTTCTCGGCGATAAATTCTATTGGTGGATTGATCCTATTGGTGCTATTGCTCTGGCTATATACACAATTTCAAATTGGTCTGGAACCGTTTTTGAAAATGCAGGTTGTGTACATGTTGTAATTGGTGGATTGTTGTAATTGATTTAAACATACTTAAAAAGATTTCTAGCTTCGCCACTATATATGCATTTTAAGGCTTTTGGCAAAAGTATTTGCATCTTTGCAGTGGCTATTTAAGTAAAGGAATCTGTGCTATTCAATTTATATACCATTCCTTTCATTTTATGCAGTTTCTCTGGTTGGGCAAGCAGCTCCTCCGGAAGTCTTGCAGAAACAGACCTACCTAGTTATACAACATCATGCTCAAATCAAGCGTGTTGATACGGTTCGAGCATATACCTTCGGTGTTCTATACTTTGTTGAGGTCAGTCTCAATTTCAGTTGGATACTAGAATGTTAAATATAGTATGACTTTTTTATGTTTGAAATTCTTAAATGGTTGTGACTTGAAAAAGGTTGACATTGAGCTACCGGAAGACTTGCCTTTGAAAGAAGCTCATGCAATTGGAGAGTCATTGCAGATTAAAATTGAGAAGCTTCCAGAAGTTGAGCGAGCATTCGTGCATCTAGATTTCGAGTGTGACCACAAACCAGAGCATTCTGTTCTCATCAAATTACCTAGTAGTCAGCCTTGATTTGTAGATGTTAGATTAATTGTTTGTATCTCTTAATGCAAAGGGATTAGCTTAAGTTCTTATATGCTATTTGCTCGAGGAAAATTTTATTGTAGTTGACATATTATTTGTATTTTCCTTGGTTAGGCTTGTAAAGTGATGAAAATTGTTTTCTTAAGTTGAAAAGAAAACAAATTTATTATTACAAAAAAAATGGAGCTCCATCCAATATTAGATTGAAAACCATTTTAATCTGTTTGGCTTGAGTAGAATATTTTCTAAGCTAAAGCCTTGCTACTAACAACTAGGGATGAAAGTGATATGGATTAAAACCGCAAACTGATTCAATCCAAATTAACAATTTGGTTCGGTTTTTTTGGAAATTCTGTTTGGATCGGTTTGGAATTTTAAAAAAATATGGATTGGGGATCGGTTTCGGTTTTGGGCTTCTAAAAACCGAAAACCGAATTTCCAAACCGAATTTATAGGAAGCCCAATACCCCAACCATATTCCCCTTCATATATAAACCTAAACCCTATTTCCTTTTCCCTTTCAGTCTTCCTCACTCTTTCTTAATTTCTTAGTTGCGGCAACCCTTATTTTTTCTGCCCTTTTCTCACTCAGTCACTGTCCACCGCTCGTCCCTCACCACTCTTTCCTCGCGGCAACAGGCCAACACCCTTATCTTTTTCCCCTCTTTCCTCACTAAGTCACTGCCCTTGCGACCACCGCCACCGCCCAACCACTCTCACTCTTCTCTAACGGTCCCTCACCACTGCTCGTCCGTTCTCACTCTTCTTCGACGGTCCTTTGCTTGTTAGGTTTTTATTTTTTTTGAATTTTGAACAGTGGTGTATGCATCTGCTTGTTAGGTTTTGATTTTGCTTGAATTTCGAACAGTGGTGTATGGATTTGCTTGTTTGGTTTTGATTTTGCTTGAATGGATTTGCTTGTTTAGTTTTGATTTTGTTTGAATTTCGAACGGTGGTGTATGGATTTGCTTGTTAGGTTTTAATTTTGCATGAAATTCGGTCCGGTTCAGATTTAATTTCCAAAACCGAATTATTTCGATTTGGATTGAATCCAAATTCGGTTTTAAAAATCCAAAACCGAATTAATTTGGTTCGGATTCGGTTTGGTGTAAAATCCAAACCGAATAACGAACTTTCACCCCCTACCAACAACCATTCTATAGATTGTATGAAACACGTATTATTATATATGAAATATATTATTTGAAAATTCAAGCTATCATCAATGGCGGGCTAACATTTTTATAAGTGAGTTTCAATAAATAAAAAAATTTGACAAGAAAATTAATTAAAAACTATTTTTTAAGCAAAAGTTTCATATGTGGCCGGGGTTACTTATTCAGGGGTTACTCAGTCAGGGATTGCTTGGTCAGAGGTTAGTCGGTCGATTAGGGGTTACTTGGTCAGGATTTACTCGGTCGGTCAGCGCTTATTTGGTCAAGGGTTACTCAGTCGGTTAGGGGTTACTCGGTCGATCAATGGTTACTCGTTTAGTGTTTTGGTATGTGTCAGCCGGCCACACAGTGTGGCCAACCACACAAAAAACGCGCTGAAAATATATTTATTATTGAAAATCATTTAAAAAAATAAATAAATACGCTTTCACAATGGTTTTAAAATCTAAAACAATTATATAATTTCAATACAGTGTTGTTAGAATCGCGATCCGAATCGTATGATCGTACGATCCTACGATCCAATCTCAGTCAAACGATTTGGATCGAAAGCAGAATTTCAGAGGCAGTAGGATCACATTAGAATCATACAGGATCGTTCAGAATCCTGTTTTTTCATTGGGATTGTTGTTGGAGCATACAGGATCATGTAAGATCGAATAGAATCGTACAAGATCGTGTAGAATCGGTCAGGATCATACGATCCAATTTCAGTCAAACGATTCAGATCGAAAGTAGAATCACAGAGGCAGTAGGATTGCATCGAAATCATACAGGATCGTTCAGAATCGTACATGATTGTGTAAGATCAGTCAGGATTGGACGATCTTGATTGTTATTGGAGCATACAAGATCATGTAGGATCAAACAAAATCGTACAGGATCGTGTAGATTTGGTCAGGATCGTCCAATCCTACTTTTTACTTATTAAAATGAGCCTAAAGCAACCAATCTTTTCTCTAAGCCTAGAAAACAATTTGCACTTATATATTATGTATGTATCGGCAGATATATGTGTACTTTAAATTGAAACAAGGTATTTACATAATTTTTTTTGGCAATTCTGATCTTAATTTGGGTCCAATAGGACTAAAATGACCCCCAAAACCTTACGTGAGTAATTTTCGCGGGAAAAAGAATAGTTGCACGTAACGAAACATTTTTGGACTCTCAAAACGAGACACTTTCGTTATTTTATTTTGGTAATTCCGAGCTCAATTTGGACTTTTAAAGGCTAAAATGCCCCCCTAAAACCTTAACAAAACATTTATCGGCATGCAAATCAAGGAAAAATAATTTAATGGCAGACCACTAACAGAACCCTAATGGAAAATATTAAGTGGTAGCAATGTTTTTTTTTTTTTTTTTTTTTGGTGGTAGTAAAATAAAATAGAATTTTAAATGGGTAGCAAATATTAAATCGGTGCTTTTTAATGGTATTTAAAGTCAAATTTTCCTTGATTTCATTACATAGTACAAAAATGTCACGTTGACTTGGTATTTTGTTGATTACTCACTCTCCCCTTTTATTTAAGTGACACATTAACTTCTGTGCACGAAATTTTACAAGAAATATATGGTGTATAGTAAGGTGATTTGTTGGACAAAAAATCCTCAATAATTAAGATGAATAATAACAAATTCTCTTTTAGTCATTTAATTAATCTTGTTGAAAAAAAAAACAAAAAAAAAAAAAAAACTTGAGTACCCAAAAGGTGAAAAACTTGAAAATTGAGTAACTTATTTTTTTGCTTAACTTTTATTTTCAATTGATAATACATTTAACAAGAAATCAGAAAATTAAACTCACCAATATCTGCATATAATTTCAATTAAGTAGTTTGTTATCGTTATTTAATATTAATATAAACCTGTAATTTTGAATTTTTGATTAAAAATAAATTTAACACACATGAAATATTGAAAATAAAGAAAAAATTGATAGGAAAAAAAATCATGGATCAATTTGGTTTATCTGTAAAAATTATCATCGAAGCACGTGCAAAACTTATGTCAGTAGCTTTATTTGATTTTACCAAAATACTAAGTTTTTATTTTTTTATTTTTTTATTTTTTAACTAAAGGTACTAAGTTGGAGCTACTTCCTACTATTTTTTTTCATTAGACATCTTTTATTTATGTGTTTGTCAATGTAAAACTTTAATCATCAATTATTTTAATTTTCCATAAGTAAAAATTATACGGGTAAAAGTTATATATTATGATAATATTTATTGAGATGATTTTACAAGATTTCACACAATATGTTTTTCCTTACAAATAATTCACAAAAGATGGTCAAAAGGAGTGATGGTGAATATTGTAAAAGTCAAAGCAGGTCAAGTAAAAAAGAATGGAGGAAGTATTTAATTAATTCAGCTGGATTTTTGAGTTGAGTACTCGAACAATTAAAAAAAAAATGCCCTTTTATTTTTGGTAATGAGATCCACAACTTTTCCTCTTTTTGAAAGAAAAGATAGAGCATTATATTAATTAAGGGGAAATGTCCATTTCCGCCAAGGTTACAATACTTTAGGAAAGGAACTAAAACGTACAAATTCATCATTCCCTCCCGTATCCCCCCTAGTAATTAGGTAAGCTACCGTATTACAATTTCTCTTGGCATGTGAAAATAAACAAACATTGAAACACGCTCTAACCAATCTAATATCATCTTAAACGACATGAATTGGGGCACGACCATCTATTTCGGAGGAGATGACTTTTATGACATTCGCTGCATCTGAACCAAACCGTATGGCAAGTTGAAGCGCATATCGCACAACCTGAGCTTCAATAAACTCCGGGGTAGAAGAATCAGTCATCTTCATTGCTGTCAAGATTATGCTACCATTAGCGTTCCTGAACACAACACCCAGGCCCGCTTTCCCCATTGCAGGGATATGTGCATCCACATTTGCTTTGATGCACCCTTGCGGAGGACACTTCCACACTAAACTGCTAGCCATAGCTGCTAGTACAGCAGGGTAGAACACCTTCTTTGCATACTCGGTGTAATCCTCAACTAGCCTACAAAACCCAGCCGCAAGCATCACAACACAACTTTTCCTCTCACAAAGCTTGAGTACCAAAAAAAAAATTAAAGGGTTTGAATACCCAAAACTTTGGAAAATTTGCCAAATATAGCCACACTTAGAGCACCAAATTTTTCAGTTGCAGCTTTTAAAAATAAAAATTGCAAATTACAGCCTAAAAAGTATTATAAACTTGTTAATTTGACACTCACTTCCTTTACCTGCCAAAAATTGCGTATAGATATATAGCATTATAGCGTCAACATTTTCTTTTTCCCCTTCCTTCTACTTTCACTCTGATGCACTAATGACTACACACTACTCACTTTATATTTACAACTATAAATGGTGACAAGCTTTTACCACTTCCCCATCCATTTTTTCACAATTGCGACGGAATTATTTCACCATTTGACCCATTTTCTCAAGTTTTGTTTAGAGAAGAACAGATTTTCAGCGGAAGTATTAGGTTGAATCTCTCCAAGATTCATATATTCAAGATTTTTTGGAAACAAATTAGGTGGAAAAATGTCCAAAAAATCTCTAGTCTCTCCCAAATTTTGTGTTTTCCGCCAACAGGGGTGTTTATTCGGTTTTCGGTAGGGGTGGCAATTCGGGTCAGCTGGTCGGGTTCGGGTTAGATTTCGAGTCATTTCGGGTTATGCTTAGAAACTATCAAAAATAGTGTAAAACTTAATATTATTACTAAATATGAAATTTGGGTGAAATCGGATCGAATTCAGGTTGTTCGGGTTCGGTTCGGGTTTCTCTCAGTAACTTCGGGTCGGGTTCGGATCGGGTTATCGGGTCAGGTTAGGATTTGCCAGCCCTAGTTTTCGGTTTGGATTTAGGCCAAATCCAATTCGATCCGAAATAAAATTCGATTTTTTATTTTCAAATCCAATCCGATCCAAATTTCTCATCAATCCAATCCGATCCAATCCAATCCAAATTATAATTCGGTTATTTAGATCC